CCCCTGATTTTTCCAGAACTGGGCTATGGGGTAGAGTTTATATAGGTAATTAGGTAACTTATGTTGCCCAGGTAAAGGCTTTAGGATGCTTGAATACTTTGTCATGTCTTATGAATGAACTCTCCTGCTAGTCCTGTTTGAATTAGTCATTTGTGGGGCTAATTAGTAACAGCGGTGGTTAATCAATGTCCTAAATATCTAGGGAGAGTAACAAGTAGAGGTGAAGTTTAAGGTATTCGTCGTTCAATAAATCATTATTGAGTCACTGTGGACAGGCACTACTTATTCTAATAAGTAGTTCACTTTTATATTTACTAAGACTTTCTGGGATGATAGTAAGGTATATTAGATAATATACTCTAATTAAGTATTTATTACTAGGCTTCTGCTCTAGGCAAAGGGATGCTTTGCCAGTTAAAACTGGAGGCCCATTAAATGGGGGAAATCATAGATGGGTTTCTCCAAGAAAGCCAACAACAAACAATAAGGCTCTTTGCCTTGTCTCTAGTCCAGAGACGTCCTTTCTTTGACATTTGGTAGGAATGCCCTTTGGCTGCTAAAATTAGCAGCATAGAGACAGCCCTAGCTGTTGGTGTTCTCCTTTTGTTTTGTTCTGTTGAACTTCCATCTTTGGGTACTTAAAATTGGCTTAAAAATAAAGGTCTGTGACCAAAAAATGAATATCCCCAAAGCATCTCCATGTAAGTGACAAGCATTAGGTAAAGGCTTCTGAACTAGTCTTTGGCTCAGAATCTTCCTGTAACACTCGAAGAGTTGCATGGACACTCCCAATTCTCTACAAATTGAACATCGGGGTTCAGGGGAAGGTAGAATATAGTGCTTGTAATTTTATTCACGTGAGCAGGGAAAACATGGTACATTGGGGCTTGTCATATACATGTGTTGTTCATCAGCTGAGAGCAAATGATTAGAGTACATACTGTAGAGCAGCATGGGTAGGCCACGGGCAGACATGATTACTTCTCAATCTCAGTGACAGTTTTCCAGATCATATTTTTAAATGTCATGGGTACGTAAGTCCTCATTTCTTTAAACTCTTGCCTTATTTCAAGGCAGGTGACCTGTAGTTCAGTGATAAAGTCATGGGGAAAGAATTGTAGCTATTTATCAGTTTTTCATGGTTTTTCCATTGGCAGATTAATCTGTTTGTATCCATTTGATGATAAATGGCAATAGAAGAAAACTAATTTAAAACGCTTGCTACTGCTTGGTCTTCTTCATTTGGTCCTTACCGTAGGGTTCTGGCTGCACTGGTGATGAAGATGGCCGGGAAGAAGAGCTGAAGCTGGTGTGCTCACAGCTGACCACATCTGTGATGCATAAGGACATGGAACATGGGTGCTTTACATTTCTGACCAACTCGTGGTGTAGTCCTTCTGTAGGCCTTCATTTTAGTCCAGCTGCTTAACCAAATGATAACTCTTTAGAATTCAGAGATCAGATCTTCCTAGAATTCTAAACCTATGGTGAGGCTGTACCTCAGACCATTCTTTAACAGTTTCATCTCTGGAATTGGCCTCTGCATTTTCTAACCTGAGTAGTGACCATATCTTAATGTGGCTCAAGATCCTAGAGTTGGAGTCTTCCCTTGTCCTGCATCTAGATGTTCACTCCCAGGGTACCCCCTGGCCGAATGATGTGCTTCTACACACAAAGCTACACTGACAACCAGACACTTTGGAATCTTGCAGGTTTCCTAAGATAGGATTAACTTTTGCTGACACTTTCTGATATAAGTTGGTTTATTGTTTTTGAGATCTTGGCTGAAATAAATGAGACATTTATGAAAAACCTCATGTAAAACTATTTTTTTAAAGATTCTATTTTTTAAGTAATCTCTACACCCAGTATGGGGCTCGAACTCACAACCCCGAGATCAAGAGTTGCACGCTCTACCGACTGAGCCAGCCGGGTGTCTCATTTTTTTTTTTTTAAGACATCCAAAATTATTTCTAACAACTCCAACAGTTCAACCTTAGCTCACCTAATGTACCTGTACCTTTTTTTTTCACATGGCTTACAAGCTATCCAGAATTTTTGATATAGAAATCTTTTTTTTTAAAGATTTTATTTATTTATTTGAGAGAGAGAGAGAGAGCGAGCGCATGAGGGGGGAAGGGTCAGAGGGAGAAGCAGACTCCCCACCGAGCGGGGAGCCCGATGCGGGACTCGATCCCGGGACTCCAGGATCCTGACCTGAGCCGAAGGCAGTCGCTTAACCAACTGAGCCACCCAGGCGCCCTGATGCAGAAATCTTGAAGGCTGACTAAACTGCATCCTAATCTTGGCATCCTTCTGTTCTCTGTGAGGCTGGGACAAAAAGAAGAGGAATTTTTTTTTTTTTTTTAAGAAAGGGTAGACAGCCTGTCTAGAAATTTGGCCATTAGAGAAGGCAATCCATCCTGCTGCCAGGTTGGGCTAGTCCCAGAGCCAGTAAGACATGTCTCCTCTGCCCAGGCTGAAGTAATTGTCCCAGTGTGGAACGAGTGTGGTATGATGAAGGCGAGAGCAAGATGCTCCTCCTAGAGTTTTAATTTTTAAATATCTTAGATGAGTACTGTATCCTAGTACACTGAGAATTTATTTTGCCAAAAGAGCAGAAGTTCTGCTTCAAAAAAATGAAGGTTTGTGCATCATCTAATACTAATTTGAGCCCCGACAACAAAGCATCCCTGGATAAGAATACATTCTGTCATGCATTTTTCTTTGCTAAGATGTGCAAGAAAGATTTCTAAATGCAATCTGGTTATTTCCAGGCTCAACGAGATTGTTTTGCCCCAGATTTGTAGGTTATTTCTCATCTTGGAGCATGATCGCTTTTATCTAAATGCTGTTCCTACCTGTGCACAGGAATGGCCATGGTTATTTGTCTTCCAGTTTGGGACACCTTCCCATGCTCTATAGCTTTTCGGGGGCGGCGGGGGGGTGTTATTTATTTATTTTTTTGGTCAGTGCATGAGCCTGTTAAAACCAATCCCCAGGGGGCAGCGCTTGGCCAGCTTGGTGGCCAAATGCAGAAACCTAACTGGTCATGTTGCTACCCCAAGAAAAGAGAGAAGAGAGAGGTCAAATACTTCCCCACTCCTTTCGTGTATAGTTCTTTGTTTTCCTGGCCCCTCACCACTTTTGACAGAATGGGCTAGGGAAAGCAGTTTTATTAGACAGGCATTTCATCATCGCCTGGTGTCATTTTTAATTCCTTTGCTTGCATTTGCAAGCAACAGTCTCTTTTCAAAGTCCAGCTTCCCTGTTACCTGGAAAGCCTTTCATATGTTCTTCTTCCCTCAGAAACATACCAAAATTGCCTCAACATTGCAGTTCCTGATTACGTTTCCTGCTTTTGTGTTTTGCATAATTGGATTTTGCAAGTTTTTGGCTGACTCTTAAAACACCGTTTGTAGTATTAAATCATGCCTTGCCTCACAGCAGGCCCGGCTGTGGCCTGAGAGTTTTCCACACTGGACTATGAAGGGAATTAAAACCACCAATTCCAAGGGGAAAATGAAACATCCAAAATAGAAGAGTATTGCAATCCTTCTATCTCCCTCTTATGACAAAGTTAGTTGGCTAATTGATAGGCAGACTGAAAGTCACTCTTTTTCCACGATTGGTCATGTTTTATTTATTGGAGGATAATCTGGCTGTATAGCCTTTAAGACACTGGGACGTTAAGTTGCCAAAAAAAAATGTAAGTTCCTTTGACAATTTTCTAGAGGTACGCTAGAGTGTCACCATCTCTTCCTACGTATACATAATAGAGCCACATATTTCTTACTTTTTAAGTCAGAGCAGGCCGCTTAAGCTTACATTTTCTCTGATTTGACAGGAATACATTTTTAAAAATCTTTTTATTATCAAAAGCTTTAAGCAGACACAAAAGCAGAGAGTATAAATAGCACAAAGAATATTCCTATGCCCGCCTGCCACCCAACTGCCACCTCATTCACTTATGGCCACTGTTCTGTATATCTCCCCTCTCTCTTCCCCAGCCCCCACTGGGTTATTCTGGAATAAATGCCAAACATCAAACAGGATAGATTCCGAAAAGGGAAACAGCTTAAATAGTCTCTGCACAGTTAAAGTGGAAGCCATCAATATTCTGTTTTGAACGTTGTCTTTTTTCCAGTACTTTAGAGAAATCTCACGGCAGCCTTTGCTAAGCTGTCCAATTTGAGTCTTGGCTGGTATACAGTTTGTATTACCTCTGGTTGCTGTCTAGAGACCTGTTAGTCTGTTATGTGTGATTTCTGCTGAATACTGTGGGATGATTTGGTGACTCTGATGTTAAATTCAACTGTTTTAAAGATGAAATTGTTCCCGAGACTATTTTAAATAATTCTGAAGCCAATTGCATAGGTTTAAGAAATGAGCAAATTTGTTGATGTTCTTGTAAATCAGGTTACTCACTATGGGAGAAGGGAGATAGAACATGGAAGCAGATAAAGAAGAACGCGGTTTTATTGGTTTTGAACTGGGGATATTTATATGAGTGTGTGTGTGTGTGTGTGTGTGTGTGTGTGTGCGCGCGTGCGCTTTCTCTCCCTAACACCACCTCTCACCCCCAGCTCTGTTCCTGTCCCTTGAAAGGACCTAAAACAATAACCTAGTAATGATGAGCTTACCTACAGCCCTGAGCTTGCTTTCT